TCAAAAGCCTTCCTGAAGTCTAGGAAAACTATATCCACTGCCACCCCTGCATCCAATGATTTAGTGACCTGGTCGTAAAAGGCCACCAGGTTGGTCTGACAGGACCTGCCGCTGATGAACCCATGCTGGTTGCCCCTGAGCATGCCGTTCCCTGCTGGCCCTTCCTGGATGTGTGCCAGAATAATTTTCTCGAACAGCTTGCCCAGGATCAAGGTAGAATAGCTCCAGTAGATTTAAAAATACCTTTTAAGAAAGGACTTTAAATACGTGACTTTGGTTTTTTACAGTGCAGTCTGTGCCCCAGTAGTTATAGAGAAACTTTTTAATTGAAGAACAAACCATCATCTAATAATTCATTGTACCTACTACATTTGTGGTAGGAGAAATTTTACCTTTTAAAGTTTCCATTTTGTTGGGTGTACATATAAAAAGGCAACATGCACAGCCAGTCCAACCAACTCAAAAGTCATGGAGAACAATGGGAAAAATCGCATGCTAATTTAGAAAAGCATTGCCAATTGGCAATGCCACCTAAGTATTTAAAACAAAGTTGGCTTGGGAGCTAAAAGCAGGAAAGCTGTCTAGATTGTGCTGCATATGTAAATATAATTTGTAAACTCTTGGAGAATACCTAAGTGACTCTGCCTGTTTAGAGAAAAAAAGTATTTAAATCAGGAGTAAAACAGTAAGTGTTCCACAAAAGATTTATAATGACACCTGCTCATAAACTAATGGAAGAAAAATGTCCCTTTATACTCGACTAGTACAGTAGGTGAATAGTTTGTGAGACACAAGATGCAAATGGGGTCTTTGCCCACATGGCTTGAATTGCAGTGTTGGATCTATAGCGTGATAGTTAAATGGGCTGTTGTTATAATTAAGGGGTTGAAACAGGAAAACATCTTTCACACATTACAACTTTGCCATTAGCCTCAGCATTTTTTTCTTGTTACGTTTTCTGAATAGTTGTTACTTCTCATAACCTTAATTCAAAAACTACGGAAAGAACAGACTTTGACCATGAGCTATCATTAACATAGTTCAGGAGCTCAACTCTTCAGTGAAGTTTATCTCTGTCCCCCAGGAAATTTTCCCTTTTTAATTATTTTTTCTATTAAATATTTAGTGCAACTGCCATGCTATTTGACTCTAAACTTTATTTTTTTTCAAACAGCTTAAAATATAGCTGTCTTCCAAATGTAAATGTCATAACAAACATAGATTCTTGTCTTGCAGCAGGTGCGGTGTGAAGTCAGGGAAGTCGTATTTTGATTTAGCAAGGTCATTTTTTGATTTTGATTTTTACATCAAAGCAAAAAAGGTTTAATTTAGCCATATGTAAAGTTACCTATATGTGTAAGCAGACCTTTCCTTATAAAACGTGTTGTTCATTCTCTTGTGCAATGTGGACGTAAATCTCTGTTTGTGGTAAGGCTGTTTGTTTTGCATGGTGTACCTCAGGCTTCTGAGAGAGGGAGCATATGAACGTAGAGAGGTAAACTTCATTTCTAACTTTCCCCATCAAAGCCATCGTATCTGAAATATGTTGTGCTTCCCTTATTGTGTTCCTGTCACCAGTCAAGATACCTCTATAATATATAGAGAGAGGTACCTATATTAGTCTGAAGTTAGGCAGAAGGCAGGGCAGGGTGACACCTTATAAACTAAGACTAGGTACAGATATTCAAAAAGCCGTAGGTAGAATCTAAGTTATTTGATTTTTCTGTAAGCAGCATAGCTTAGCTCACTAGTGAACAGAAAACACGTTTGCTCATTGATGATAGGGGCAAATCTTAGACCAGGTTCTGCCATTCTTTAAACCAGTCTGTGCGATGTTCTGTTCTGTTCTGTTCTGGTACAGACTAGGGCTGTGCGAAATGGCTAGGTTTCATTTTGGTTTTGGATTCAGCCGTTCCGGAGGGACAGTGACTCATTTTGGTGTTTCGGATCACTGTTTCATTTCGAATTGGCCGAATCTGTTTCAGAGTTTTGGCGCTGAGTCGGAGTTTCGGATCAGCCAGGGAGAGGCAGGCACAGCCAAGTGACTGCAGGTTCTCCTGTGGCTCCTCTGGCTGTGCCTGCCTCTCCCAGGGCAGAGGAAGCCGTGGGAGAAGCCCCCATGGCTGCCCCGCCCCAGACTCCCAGCAGTTAAAAACCCACACTTACTGGCTGTAGCAGCGGCAAACAGGGCCTCTGATGGCTCGTGGCAGAGCCCCCCTGTGCAGTGGGGGGCAGTAAGGATTGCCCCCCTGCCTGGCATCTGCGCAGCAGCTGCTCCATGGCATGGGTGCAGTGTAGATTGGCAGGGCGCTGCATGCTGTCTGGGAGCTGGGGCGGTTCTAGCAGTGAGCTGGAGCCTGACGCTACTCAGCCAAAACGGCCCCAGCTTCTAGACAGTGTGCAGTGCCCTGCCGAACAACACTGCACCCGCATTATGGGGCAGCTGCTGCGTGGGTGCCAGGCGGTGGGGGTGATCCTTGGTGCTCCCTGCTGTGTGGGGGGGGCTCTGCCACAAGACCTCAGAGGCCCTGATCGCCACTGCTACAGCCAGTGACTGGGGCTTTTTTTTTTTTTAAGTGCTGGGAGGATGGGGCCAGGTGGGGGATGGGGCTGGGCAGGGCAGCTATGGGGGCTTCTCCCACAGCTCCCCTCTCCTGGGGAGGAGCAGGCACTGCTGTGGGAGAACCTGTAGCTGCCTGTCTGTGCCTGTCTCTCCCCAGTGAATCCAAATCTTTTCTGAATCGATTCAGAGGCTTCAGATTTGATTCTGACCTTTTAATGGGTCTCCTGATCAGTTTCGATTTGGATATTCAGCCACAAAATCGGGCTGAATCTCCTCCGAATCGAATTGGTGACCAAAGCTTTTCACAGCCGTAGTACAGGTTAGTTTTGCATGCCAAGCTTCTCTTCTGTGTTCTATGTATAAATTGGTTTCTGATCACTTATACTGGTAAAAGCGTGATATCTGGAACTGGCCTGACTTGTTCAGAGAGGCATGAACTTTTTTAGGTTACAGCTTGCTTCATCAGATGCTATGAATGGAGTCGCAAGGGTACTAAATAGAAAGGAATTAAGTCATTTGAATAGAAAGGATATGGAAAGGGGGGTTGAAAGGAGGAGGTCTCTGGCTGCTGATGGGCAAAAGTGGGTTGGAGAGAGAAACAGCAATTAACTTGTTGAGGGACATAGGGGTTATAAAAGCTAGCCCAGTTAATGGGATAAGGATCCAGAGTCTCTGTTGAGAACATGTATAACAATCCAGTCTGTGGATGACTTCTTGTTTTGCAGTTTTGCTTCAGGTTGGTTTTTAAAGTGTTGTTTAATAACAACTACTCTGAAGTCAGTGATGGAATGTCCAGGGAAGTTAAAGAGTTCTTTCACAGGCTTTTGTGTCTTTCTAGAGTTGACATCAGATAGGTATCCATTCATTCCTTCATGTAGAGGTCTCATATGTCCAACAGGAGAGGGCCATTGTAAGCAGGTGATGGCATATATCATGGTGGTAGAGGAGCAGGTGAGTGGACCCTGGATGCTATAATCAGTGATGTTTCATCCAGTCTCAGCAGCTCTCTCTTCTCTCCATTTCCCTAAATTTTTGCATTTAAATGTGTTTATCTCTTTCTTTTTAGGACTCCAGTTCTCTTCAAGTCTGTTCGTAGCATCTGATGACAGGCTCATACCTCTCTGTATGAGTATTGTGATTATATTAAAAAAAAGGGGGGGAGGGGAAAAAAGGGAGGAAAAAACAGTCACTTCTTACACTGACACATACTATGTACATTCTTATGTACAGGTCTCTTATTCTCTGTTAAGGTCTCTTTATTTTCTGTTATTCCAGGCTGTTAATGAAAGGTTTTCAGTTTTGCCATGTAGCAAGATTTTTATTTTTTTTATTTTTTTTTTAGAGTAGAGGTATCCATTCCAGTTGCTACAGTTACACTACTAAATACTTTTACTGTTTACCAATTTTGTATTAGAATTTGGGTCTCTGGAGTTTGAAGGCTTATAACACTAAACTCACTGTAATGATAGTCACAAGCACCTTCTATTTTCAGAATAGGCTAAATTTAAATAAGTTTAAGCAGCTTACCACCTTCATAAAGGGGAAGTTAGGTAATTGTTGTCTAGTCCACATTTTCTGTTTGCATTTTTTTCATAGCACATTTCAACTCTTTAGCCCTTACAAGCCATATTTCCTACTGGCTGAAGGTATACAACAGATCTTTTTTTGAGACTTTGGAAAGCATGGAATTTGATCTAAAGATCAAAGACAAAAGTAGTTCTGTTAGAAATATTAGGTTAAAGATAATGTCTCTTGAAATCATTGTCTCCTCGCAAAACACAGAGATGTTAGCTGAAGATATTTCATAAACATAACTATTTCTTTTTGCTGTTATAAGTAGTAACACACACAATATTGTTTTCTGGTATCAATGAATATGTCTCTTCCTGTGATTTTTTTTTTTCCAAATTAGTGGAATCTTAAAACAAAAAAAAACTTTAAACATAACCCGCACAAAACTTTAAACATAACCTAACTACATAGCATGAGATTGGAGAAATAGAGGCACAAAGTTAATTGATTTGCTCCCAGCCAGTGATTAGATAGGACACTGGGTATAGTATTAAAAAATGAGGTCTAATATGAATCAAAACCCATTGTCTTGAAGCGAAACAGTGACTGAGTTAATCTGTTCACTATGTTAGCATGAAAGCACAACCTATCATTTCATAATTAGAAATCATGCATCATTGGGAGTCTAACATGATTTAATATCCTTAGCTTTGAAGTAGTCTTGGCATAAGATCCAAGTTCTAAATTCGAAGGGTGTCAGCCTTGAGTAAAGAGAATGCGTTAGAATTTTGTAGTGTGCATAATGGTGAGATGGAGCACATTGGCACGTATGAGGCCAGTTTCATCTCGGCAACTTAATGCCGGGAGAGATACTTTTCCGTCTCAGTTGGTAGCCTTTTTCATTTCTGATTGGTCATGGGAATAAGATTTTGAATGATAGAAAAGAATGTGGTAAGACCTTTCTTCATTCACTACATATCTTCTAAAGTGGACAAAGAACCTTCCACTTCAAAATTTCAAAGTATGTGGTACTGCATTTTAGTGGTGTTTAATATTGTAGTTTTTAAAAAAAATTTTTTAAAGTTTTTCCTCCCATTTTTAAAAAGCAAGAAAAGGAAATTCCATACAAAGTTTCATTAGGGATGTTGAAGTTGTGTTTTTACTGACGGGTAAAGGGAAAAAATTAAGGTTTCATCCTCAGTCTTGATCATAACCCATGCTCTGACTGCCCTTGTTTGCTACTCCCCAAAACAGCCTCCAAAATATACCTTTGTTAAACAAGTGAGGACAAAAAGGAAAATGGTTGAGCACCCTATGTGCTGGAGTAGGGCATAGACTTTATTTAGGTGAGGAAAGAATGCATTGAAGGCCTTAGTGAGAACTTACTTGGAATAATAATAATAATGAATTCAGGATTATGTGCATGTATTTATACTATATAGTGTCTCATGTTGTAATCTCATAAACTTCTTCCATTTTAGGCAGAGTATGTCCAACTGGTTACTGAACTTCGAATGACAAGAGCTATTCAACCTCAGATAAATGCTTTTTTACAAGGTTTTCATATGTTCATACCACCTTCTCTTATACAACTTTTTGATGAATATGAACTGGTGAGTAGCAGTATGCCTGCATTATTTGTAACTGACAGCACTCAGCAATTGTTGTAGATCACTAATGTAATAATATAGAAGTAAAGGCTCAGTTCTGTGGAAGATAAATATTTGGTATCCATGACTTTGGTTTTATTTTTTTAGATCTAGCCCCAGATGTACTACATCTTGTGTTAAGTTCAGGTGTGTGTGCTCAGGCACATAGGTCTATCTATGAACTGAATAGAGAAATGTCACCATTTGCGGATAACTAGAATCATGAGTGGATCCAAGGAAAGGCATGTGTGGGGGGGATGTGGGTACCCTCCATTCCCTTGGTAGTGCAGTAATGCCCTTACTGAATGCTAATACTGCACACCACCCGTGCCCTTGGCCATGGCAGAACTTGGCAACAGGGGAAAAGGGGGCAGTGAAATCCCCTTGGATTTCAGAGCTGTGTCAGTACAGGTTCTGGCAACACTCAAGCTGATGAGTTGGTAAGTTCAGAGAGCTCACTGTGCATGTGCTGTACAGCTTCTCAGCGGAAGGGGGAAGCAGATGAAGCAGCTGCACTCTCCAACCATCCCTAGTGCAGCTTGTAAGGGGAAGGAGTACCAATTTTCTCCTCTTCTCTGCTTCCCTCCTCCACTTTCAATATGATGTTAACACAATCCTACTCCCTACCAGACAGGTGGCAGTCCTGCGTCCTTTAATTAGATATTTCTATTGATGTAGAATCTACACTGAAATACCCTACTCTGCCTGGGCTTAGCTGCATAAGTCTGTGCCTTTTGAACTGCAGATGGGCAGTGGGAGCAGGAGGAGTCCACTGCCTGCCAGTTAGAGCACTTGCCCAAGAAGTGCCAGCCTGGCAGTGGGGCCAGGTTACAAGCTGGTGCTGAGCACAGTGGGGTGGGGAAAGCAGCCCTTCCCCACCCATGCCCAGTGCCCCGTGCTGCAGCCACTCTCAGCCTGCCTGGGACTGCCTGTGCCTGCTCCTGACAGCCCCGTGTGGTCTGTGAGCACCTGCAGCAGGGAGCACCGGCCATGGGGTGGGTAAGGTGAGGGAAGGGAAGGAACCCAGGGAAAAGCTGAGCGTGGGAGGGAAGCGGCCCACCCCACAGCCCATGCCCCCGTGCTGCAGGTGCTCGCAGCCCACACGGGGCAGTCCGGAGCAGACGCAGGCAGCCCCATGTGGGCTGCAAGTAGCTGCAGCACGGGACACCAGGCATGGGGTGGGGAGGGGCTGTTTCCCCCCACTGCGCTCCTTCTTTGCCCAGGGTCCCCTCTGCCCCCCGCTTACCTGAGCTTCCCATGCCGGGGTAGCCACATGGTCCCAGCCCAGAAACCCCGGCTCGGGGGTGGGGCCGGGTGGGCCTGCTGTTGTTGGAGCCTGCTGGGCTTCCCCTGGGTCCTACTGCCCTTGGATCATGCCATTTTTGACAGGAACCAAGAGCACAGAAATATTAATTCTCTACATCTTTTTAGGGGCCCTGCAGGCCGGATAGAATGGCTTTGCGGGCCGTATTTTGTCCACCCTGGCTTTAGTCTCATCAGCATGATGGGATTTTCACATTTTCCAGGTGCCAGGACAGTGCTACACTTTTTTTTTT